ATTCTCCTCTTAAGGACATACCCCACAGACTATCCCTACTTTTCCTTCCCTTCCCACCTCATCTCTCTGTCCCAAGACACAAGTCTGGCAGATACCCCTTGCTAAACCACAGTCTATTAGACCATCATGGATTAAAGGTGAATATCAACAGCAGAAACCTTACAAAATCATGGAGACTGAACAACTCTCTATTCAATGAAAAAATGGGTCAAGACAAAAATAAAAGAAAAACTAAAGACTTCCTAGAATTCAACAAAAATTAATATACAACATACCCAAATTCATGGTACACAATGGAAAGAGGAAAGGTCATAGCACTAAGTGCCTACATGAAAAAAAAACTTGGAGTGATCTCATGCTAATAACTTAACAGTACACCCAAAAGCTCTAGAACAAAAAGAAGTATACCCAAGAGGCTAGATGACAAAAAATTATCAAATTGGTAGTAGAAATCAATAAAATTGGAACAAAGAAAACAATACAATAAACCAATGAAAAAAAGAGTTGATTCTTTGAAAAAATCAACAGACCCTTATACAAACTAACTAAAAGACAAAGAAAAAATATCCAAATTGACAAAATCAGAGACAAGGCAGTGGTTATTACAACAGACACTGAAGAAATCCAAGGAATCATAAGGACATATTTTTAAAACCTCTTAGAAAATCTAAAAGAAATGAATAATTTTCTCACTAGGTACCACCTACCAAAGTTACATCAAGATCAGATGAACAAATTAGGTAGACCTACAACCCTAGTGAAATAGAAGCAGTCATTAAAAGTCTCCCAACACAAAAAGTCCAAGGCCAGACAGTTTTAGAGCAGAATTCCACTAGATTTTCAGAGAAGTTAATACTAATATTCCTCAAATTATTACTCAAAATAGAAAGAGAAGGAACACTGCCCAATTCATTTTATGAGTCCAGTCACCCTGCTACCCAAAGCACATAAAGACTCAACAAAGAAAAATTTACAAACCAATTTATCTTGTGAACACAGATGCAAAATACCAATAAAACATTCACAAGCTGAATCCAAGAACACATCAAAAAGATCATCCAACAGGACCATTCCAAAGAGACAGGAATGGTTCAATATATGGAAATCAGTCAATGTAATCCACCATATAAACAACATGAAAGAAAAACATCACAGAATCACATCACTAGATACTGAAAAAGCCTTAGAATAAATACAACACTTTACATGATTAAAGTACTGGAGATATTATGGATTCAAGGGACATACGAAAACATAATAAAGGCAATGTACTGCAAGCCTATACGAAAAATCAAATTTAGTGAAGAGAAACTCAAGGTAATTCCACTAGAAACAGGCACAAGACAAAGTTGTGCACTCTTTCCATATCCATTCAGTTTACTACTTGAAATTTTAGCTAGAGCAATAAGAAAACTGACAGAAATCAACGGGACTACAAATTGGAAATAAAGAAGTCAAAGTATCATTAGTTGCCAGTGATAGGTATGACAGTATACAAAAATGACCCTAAAAATTCCACTAGACAATGACAACTGATAAATGCTTTCACTGAACTGACAAGATACAAGATTAACTACAAAAAACATCAGTAGGTCTCCTATGTACAAGTGACAACTGGACTGAGAAAGAAATCAGGGAAACAGCGCCATTCACAATAGCCTCAAATAATATAAAATATCTTGGGGTAATTCTAACCAAGCAAGTCAAAGACTTCTTTGATAAAACCTTCAAGTCTTTGAAGAAAAAAATTGAAATAGATACCAGATATGACCAACCTACCAAAAGTAATCTACAAATTCAGTACAATCCTTATCAAAATTCCAACACAATTCTTTACAGACCTTGAAAGGACAATTCTCACATTAATATGAAAAAATCAAGATGGCTAAAACAATCATGAAAATTAAAAAAAAACTGCTGGAGATATCACCATCACTGGTGTAAAGTTGTATTATAGAGCTATAGCAATAAAAACCTCAAGGTATTGCCATAAAAGAAGACATGCTGATCAGTGGAATCAAATAGAAGACCCAGGCCATCCCCACACAACTGATTTTTTTAAAATAAAGAAACCATAAATACACACAGAAATACGGACAGCATCTTTACCAAATGGTGCTGGTAATATTAGATGTCAGCATGTAGAAGAATGCAAATAAATCCACGTTTATCACCCTCAAGCCCAATTGGATCAAAGGCCTCAACACAAAACCCAAAACTGAACTCAATAGAAGAGGAAATAGGGCATAGCCTTGAAATCATCGCCATAGAAGGCAGCTTCCTGAATAGAACACTGATAACATAGGTATGAATTTTTCTAATTCTACATCTGATAAAAGACTAATATCAAAAATATATAAACAACTCAAGATACTAGATATAAAAAAACAGTGGAGCACTATTTATCCCTAGTATACAAATGGATTTTTGGAGCCCATTCCACATACAGCAATACACTCTCAACCTCGACACACAAGGATAGCATTGGCCCTGCTACAAATGATATGACAGACATTCAAGATCCCTCATGGAAGGCCTCATACACCCTGAGTAGTGGTAAGAGGATGGGAAAGGGGTTGGTGGTGGGCAGGAGTGGAGGGGAGTGAGAAGGAACTGGGACTGACATGTAAAACAAGTTTCTTTCTAATTTAAATTAAAAAGGAAAACATGAATCCAGGTACTATATTGAATACACATGGAGAGAAGAAATATCCTTGTATAGGTCCTTATTCTAATGGAAAGGCTTGAGTTTCTTTCCATTTTGTTTGATGTGGACCTTTGGCTTGTGCTAAAATGCTACATTTATTTTATGATATGCTCCATGTATCCCTGGTCTCTTGAGAACATTTGTATCAGGAAAGGTGATGGACTTTTATGGCCAAAGGAATTTTTGCATATAATGTGATGATTTCAAGAGATATAATTTGTGTTCCATTTTCTATATTAAGTGGATTACATTTCTTGATTTGGGTATTTGAAACATCAATTTTTCTTTTCTTATTTTAAATTTAAATAGCTTGCTTCACATGTCAATCCCAGTTCCTTCTCCCTCTCCTCCTCTTACTCCCCCTACAATCCCCCAAGCCTCCCATCCTATCTCCACTTCCTTTCATATAGGGGATATCTAGAGTCTGTCATTTCACTCAGGGAAGGGATCAGGGACTCCCCTAAGTGTCCAGTCTAAGAGAGAATCTTTCTTTCTGTTATGGATACAAGAAGTCCGTTTGTATGCCAGGGATAAATACTGATCCACTGCCCAGGGCCCCATAGGTTGCCCAGGCATCCTCACGGAATCTAGATATCCCATATATGGAAGGAAATGGTGATAGGGTGGGAGGCTGGAGGGGTTGGTGGGGGGATGTGGGAGGAGGGAAAGGAGAGGGAACTGGAATTGACATGTAAAACAAGCTATATAAAATTAAAATAACAATAGTGATGAAAGTTTTAAATCCTTCAATTTCATAAGAATATAAGTGTTTTCTGAACTTACATGTATAAACTCAGCCTATGTCCATTCACTGAAAAGAACAGAAATGGTCATCAAAATATCAGGAACTGGAGTTGTAGGGCGTTATGGATTTAATGTGATAGTTAGGAGCTGGATCCAGTTCCTCTGAAAACTAGCTAGTACTCTCTAACACTAAACTACAACTTCAGCTCCTGGTGAAGCAAAAAATAAGCTAACAATAATACTTCATGAAAACACACACTAAAATGGTAAGCTTATAAATGACCATTTGCAAAAATGAAGAAAAAATTTAATATTTGAGTAGGTAAACATGGCGAAATATAATCATGACTTCTACAATTACTCAATAATTTATATAGTAGACATTTTTCAACAAGTGAGTAAATTTTAAATATCTCGCATAACCAGAATTTCTTTTTGTTCTTTCTTTAATGAGATATTTTCATTTTACTTTGATAGTATAACAGTACCAGTATAGGGGGCTCTGCTTACACTAGGGCATCATATTAAAAACCACATGAGAGAAGAAGGAAAATAGACTAGCACAGCTCATTAGCTTGTGTTGATTCAAACTTTTATAGTCTGATGCTCAGTGGCTTATTTAAAATTATTTAAGTACAGTAAAATATGGAAAGGCAGTTCATGGTGCAATGAATTCTTCTGTGCACAAAGAGGCATAATAACATGAGAACTTCTCAAAGTACATGTCACAGCTTCTGTGATGATGGGTTGTACAGATAGGATACAAGTACTTACTTAATGGACTAGGGAAGAATCTGGTGTGGTATTGATCATACAGATGGCATAGTCATTTCCTCAGCTATTATCAACCTCCAGTACTGATTATGGAAGCTTGGGAGAGACCGCAACCATTCAGGAAGGGCAAAGGTCACCTAGACTTTTATTGGATTCTACAAGTGGTAGCCTGGTATGGACTAGATAGAGAAATAATGCAAGAATCACATAGGCTACAAGATACCTCCAGTCCCAGAATTCTAAGAAGAAGAGAGACCATATATATTTTTGCTTGAAAAGAAAACCATACCTGTTGGAAATTTATGGGTCTACTAGAGCTATCAGTGAAAGCAAGAACCTTTGTAATCCATTCATATTACAATATTTCATTCTTCACTTTGCTCTCTAAAATGTATGGCCTCTTTTCCTTCTTACAGTTGTTTCATGAATATGTGTACATGTGTATACGTAAATATTCCTAAATGAAACTTCAACAATCCATACAATTTAATATGCATATAAATTTTAAGACTTTCCATTTGATGCTGGACAATAAATTGCTATGTGTTTCCCTGATTAAGACTGTCTCTCTCACTCACTGTTTACAGTTCTTTGTATATGGTGGTGGCACGCACATTGGATTCACAATATACCTCTAACTGAATTAAACCAGGATTGCTGAAACATGTGTCTAGATTATTTCTACTGGCATTATCGGTCATTGGTTTGCGGACACTAATGATGATCTTCAAGCAACAAAGAGACACTCCCCATTAAAAAGTATGAAAATTGACTGAATATTTTACTATTTTTATTACGAAGAAAGAGAGGGAATACATTTGAAGTTAAAAAAAGAGGCAATATATATGTACAATCTCAAATACTATCAAAGAGTTAATGTATATATTAAATATTGTATAAGCATCATATTACATTAACAGTTGCAACATATTACACTAAATTAAAATCTGGAATACTTATGAGTTTGCACAGTTCTTTAAAATAAGGTCCAGATGTCAGGTCAGAAAAATCTGGTGCTTAACTCATTTCTAATGAGAATAAACATCTCTGCAATTTTCCAATAAACATTTTATGACTACAAAGACACTATCTGGATAGAATGATTCTAATTTTGTAAAAAATGTAGACCTTACTAAAGAGGACTGCAGAGTACTGAATGATCTGTGAAAACTTACTGAAGATTTTCAAAATGGGTAAGACACTTGTTTGTGTATGACAACTCATACAGTGATTTAAGGAGATATTCTAATAATATTAACAAAACTAGTCCATTATATGGAATTTCTGATGATTGTGTCTAATACTTGACCATCTGGTAAATGATTTCTGACATTCTTGGTATTTCTAAGATTTGTCATGAGTATGGATTCTGTGATGAGTATGAAGACTTGAGTGATGGGCAAAGGACTTTCCACACTCTTCACATCTGTAAGGTTTTTCACCAGTATGAATTCTGTGATGAGCTTGAAGATATGAGTGACGGGTAAATGACTTGCCACATTCTGCACATCTGTAAGGTTTCTCACCAGTATGGATTCTGTGGTGAACTTGAAGATTTGAATGCTGGGTAAAGCACTTGCCACATTCTTCACATCTGTAAGGTTTGTCACCAGTATGAATTCTGTGATGAGCTTGAAGATATGAGTGACGGGTAAATGACTTGCCACATTCTGCACATATGTAAGGTTTCTCACCAGTATGGATTCTTTGGTGAACTTGAAGATTTGAAGAACGGGTAAAGCACTTGCCACATTCTTCACATCTGTAAGGTTTGTCACCAGTATGGATCCTGTGGTGACTTTGAAGAGTTGAGAGGTCTGTAAAAGATTTGCCACATTCTTCACATCTGTAAGGTTTGTCACTAGTATGGATTCTGTGGTGACGATGAAGATGTGAGCGTTGTGTAAAACATTTGCCACATTCTTTACAACTGTAAGGTTTATCACCAGTATGAATTATTTGATGAGCTTGAAGATGTGAGTGACGGGTAAATGACTTGCCACATTCTTTACAACTGTAAGGTTTCTCACCAGTATGAATTCTTTGGTGAACTTGAAGTTTTGAATGCTGGGTAAAGCATTTGCCACATTCTTCACAACTGTAAGGTTTGTCATTAGTGTGGATCCTGTGGTGAATTTGAAGAGTTGAAAGGTGTCTAAAAGATTTGCCACATTCTTCACATCTGTAAGGTTTGTCACCAGTATGGATTCTGTGGTGACGATGAAGACTTGAGAGGTGTGTAAACGATTTGCCACATTCTTTACAACTGTAAGGTTTATCACCAGTATGAATTCTGTGGTGAACATGAAGATTTGAATGACGGGTAAAGCACTTGCCACATTCTTCACAACTGTAAGGTTTGTCAATAGTTTGGAACCTGTGGTGACTTTGAAGAGTTGAGAGGTGTCTAAAAGATTTGCCACATTTATTACAACTGTAAGGTTTTTCATCAGTATATATTCTATAGTGAACAGGAAGAGATGTGGACTTTACACATTCTTCATAGCTGGAAGGTTGGTCTAGAGTATGGATCCTCTGTTGAACTTGCAGTCTTGAGATCTGCAAAAAGTAGTTGCCACATTCTTCTAATGTGTAAAGTTTGTCACCAGTATGAATGCTGGGGTGACCTTGAAGGGTTGCATGACAGGTAATGGACTTGCCGCATTCTTTCCTTTTGTTAAGTTTCTTTCCTGTCTCGATTTCCTGGTTTCTCCTGAAGTGTGAAAAGTTATGGAGACATTTTTCACATCCTACACATTTGTAGGACTTCCTTAAGATATGAGTTATTCCATGTGTAATGAAATTTGAGGAATTCCCAAAATATATTTTACAATTATCATTGTGGTTGGGGTTCACCAAAGGATGGATTTGCTGGCAGGTGCTATGAAGAGAAAACTCTATAACGGCCTTGTCACTTTTCTTCCATTTCCATGCTTTCTCTCTGCAATGGATTTTGTGATGGTTAGTGAGGAGTGCACATTCATTGAAGCACTTCCGCCATTCCTTATAGTTGAAATGTTCCACTTCAGCATTCAGTCTATTATGTCTGGTGATGTGTGTAGAACTCATGAGGCATTTTTCACATAAATTACATTCACATGGTTTCTCTCCAGCATTGAATATTAGACAGCCTAGTTGATTTAAAAGGGGAGAAATATTATTATAAGTTTGGCATATCTCGAGCCTCTTTTCCATGTTCCTTCAATGATTTTGAACAGAATCTTACATGGATAGTAGAATCCATTACATTCTTGTCTAAATCTGTAGGAAATGTTTCCAGGAATAGACTTTCTGAACCAAACATTTGCGCATCCATCAAAAGTTCAATCATGGTGATAGATTTTTATGAAGTTTCTCTTGTGTCTGGTCAGGCAGGTGCCTAAAAATGTTTTTGTTATAATCAAAAGTCTCTTTATAGTTATTATTGAAATAACTCTCAGGATAAACTGAATTAGTTGGTTTTAAGTCCTGTATAGGCACACACCCTGGCTCTACAGGATCTCTTGTCCTTGGAACTGCAGCTCGGCCCCACTAAGGGCCCCTTGAAGACTGAGCAACCAAGAGTCAACTGAGAGAGCCGACCTACTCCTACCACCATTCAGCAAAGAGGGTAGAGCAGAGGTGGGCTCCAGGCCCCCACACTGGTGCCAAATTCCTTCTTCTTGTACTCTCTGGGATCTCCTGGACTAGGGACTGCATCAACCTCCACTCAACCCCAGAGGACCCAGCAACAAAGAGCCTACTGAGAGAGCCAGTCTACTCCCAACCCCACCCAGAGAAGAGGGCAAAAGTCAGAGTGGAGAAAGCAGAGCTCTCCACTACTAGGAGAGAGAGTGCCTCAGACACATATGCACCCACTGTAACATCCTTCAGTGAATTGAACCTGCTTGAGCCGACCAGAAGAGAACCTTGGACCCATACCCACCAGAAAAAAAAGAGACCCCACCAGTACCCACTGAAAGAAGGGATGGGAAAATGACAATACAAGAACAAATTCAATTACTGAAAAAAAAACAATATGATAACACAAGACTCTAGGGACTCTACACCAGCAAGATCAGAACATCACAACACAGATGAAACAGACGAGAACAATATTAAAAATCAAAACTTCATGAAGATGATAGATACCCTAAAACAAAGATGAGAAAATCCTTTAAAGAAATAGAATAAAAGACGAACCAGAGTTGGTTCTTTGAGAAAATCAACAAGATAGACTAACTATTGTCCAATCTTACCAAATGGCAGAGTGTGAACTTGCAAATTAACAAATTCAGAAACAAAAAGGGGACATAACAATGGACTCTGAGGAAATTCAGAGAATCATCAGGTCATAATTTGAAAACCTGTACTCCACAAAATTTGAAAATTTAAAGGAAATGGACAATTTTTTAATATCTACCACTTGCCAAAATTAAAGCAATAACAAAGAAGCAATTAAAATGGAGCTATAACTCCTAAGGAAAAAGAAGCAGTCATCAAAATTCTCCCAACAAAAAATACCACAGGTCCAGATGGCCTCAGCGCAGAATTCTACCACGTATTCAATGAACAGCTTACACCAATTCTTCTCAAAGTATTCCATGCAATAGAAGCAGAAGAGTCTTTACCAAACTCTTTCAATGAGGCTGCAATAGCCTTGATAGTCAAGAGACACAAAGGCAAAACAAAGAAAAATAATTTCAGACCACTATCCCTCATGAACTTTGATGCAAAAATACTCAATAAAATACTGTCAAACAAGAAGGAAGAACTCATCAAAACAATCATTTACCATGATCAAGTAGGTTTCATCCCAGGGATGCAGGGATGGTTTGACATACAAAAATCCATCAATGTAATCCACCATATAATCGAACTGAGAAACAAAAATCACATGATCATCTCACTATATACAGAAAAAAGCCTTTGATAAAGTCCAACACACCTTCATGATAAAGGTCTTGGAGAGATCCAAGATAACAGAAACATACTTAAACATAATAAAAGCTATCTATATACAGCAAACCAACAGCCACCACCAAACTTAATGGAAAGAAAGTCAATGTGAATCTGCTAAAATCAGGAACAAGACAAGACTTTCCAATCTCTCCATACCTCTTCAATATTCTACTTGCATTTCTAGCTAGAACAATAAGACAACAAAAAGAGATCTAGGAGATACAAATTGGAAAGGAAGACGTCAAACTTTCACTACTTGCATCTGGAATGATAGTTTACTTAAGTGATCAAAAAACACTACCAGGCAACTCCTACAGGTGATAAATACCTTCACATAAGGCACAAGTGCACAAAAACAACCCTATTCAATAAAGCAACATGTACAGTCTTCACCATCCCTGACTTCAAGCTGTATTACAGAGATATAGTCCTGAAAACAGCTTGGTATTGGCACAAAAAGAGACAGAATGACGAATGGAATCAAACTGAAAACACTGATACTAACCCATAAGTGTTTTACATGTCATCTTCTAAAAAAGGCTAAAAATATACAATGGAAAAAAGAAACAATCTTCAACAAATGGTGCTGGCATGACTGGTTATTGGCATGTAGAAGATTCATGTCTATCGCCATGCATAAAACTTGAGTCCAAATGGATAAAATACCTCAACATAAATTGAGCCACACTAAACCTCTTAGAAAAGAAAGTGTGAGGTATCCTTGAATGAATTGATACAGGAGACTGCTTCCTGACCATAACACCAGTAGAACAGACACTGAGGTCAATAAGTAATATATGGGACCTCTTGAAACTGAGAAGCTTCTGCAAGGCAAAGGACACAGTCAACAAGCAAAAACTCAGCCCAAAGAATGGGAAAAGATATTTACTAACCACATATTTGACACAGGGCTGATCTCCTCGACAAGCAGTTCTCCAAAGTACCAAAGGATCCAATTAAACAGTGGGGTACAGAACTAAATAGAGAATCCCAATAGTGGATTACAAATTGGCTGAGAGTCACTTGAGAAAGTGCTCAATATCCCTAGCCATCAGGGAAATGCAAATCAAAACAAATCTGAGATACCATCTTGCTCCTGTCAGAATGGCAAATATCAAAATCACCAATGACAGTTTATGCTGGAGAGGATGTGGAGAAAGGACAACACGCTTTCACTGCTGGTGGGAGTGCCGACTTGTACAGCCATTTTAGAAATCTCTATGGAGATTCCTCAGGAAAAAGGGAATCAGCCTACCACAAGACCCAGGAAATTCTCTCTTAGGCAAATATCAAAAAGATGCAGAGTCATATAACACAGATGTCTTTTCAACTATGTTCATAGCAGCATTATTTGTAATAGCCAGAACCTGTAAGCAAACTTCATGCCCCAAAACTGAAGAGTGGAAAGAGAAAATGCGGTGCATTTACACAATGGAGTACTCCTCAGAAGGCAAAAACAAAGGAATATTGAAATTTGCAGACGAATGGATGGCACAAGAAGAAACCATCCTGAGTGAGGTAACCCTGTCACAAAAAAAAATATGGTATGTACTCTATCATATATGGATTTTACATGGATCTGGAGAGTGCCAGCCTACAGACCCATTGCCAGAGAGAGTGGGAAACATAACATTCACCCAATGACTTATAGAAACAGAGGCAGACAGCCACAGCTAAACACTGAGCTGAACTCAAGGAATCCAGAGACAGAGAGGAAGGACTGATGATCAAAGGGGTTAAGAATGGGTTTGTTTAACCCACAGAAACAGCTGACCTGAATAAGTGGAACGCTTGAACCCCAGACTGATGGCTGAGAATCCTGCATGGAACTGATCAAGGCCAACTGAATGTGGGTTGTCAGTCAAAAGGCATAGGCAATCTATGCGGCCTTCAGTAGTAGATCAATATTTATCCCTGGCATACAAATGGATTTTGGGTGCCTGTCCCACAATGAGACATGTACTCTCACCCTGAATTGTTGGGGGAGGTACTAGGCCCTGCCCTGGATGAAATCATAGACTATAGATACCCCTATGGAGGTCCTTACACTTCTCAGGGAAAAGCAGTGGGGATTGGGGGAGGGGAGGGGAGGATTGTTGATGAGAGGACTTGGGAAGAGGGGAGGGAGAGGGAGACGGACCTGGGATTGACATATGAATCAAACTTTTTTCTAATTTGATTTTTAAAAAATAAAATTAAAAAAATTATTTAAAAAAAGAAAAGATAAACCAAAATTTACAAGAAACAATTCAAACAGTGCAAGGTTTGAAAGCATGTAATACATGAAAGAAAGCATAAAAAACATGAAATGATAAAGAGAAATTGTCTATCACACACAGTCAAAATATTACTTGAATGGGAGTTTTCATTTCAAGTTAATTAAATTAAGGGCTTGGCCGGACATGGGTGGTGTACACTTTAAACCCAGCACTCAAACAGCAGAACAAGGTGGATCTCTTTGAGTTTGAGGACAGCCTGGTCTAAAGACTGAGTTCCAGGAGAGCCTCCAAAACAATACAGAAAAATCTGGTCTCGAAAATAACAACAAAAAAAAGTTAAATTAAGGGCTCAATAACATTCCAGGATATGGCAATGAATCATCTCTCAATCTCTTCATAACATATTTTAAGGACTAAATTTCACCTTCACTTTCATCTCTTTCATATGACAATTATTTATTCTGACTTACATTGTTCTTTGTCTTCTGTTTCTCTTGTGTTTACATCCCAGGGCTCTTTGCTTTGTTCAAGAGAGTTGATCAGCTCTGGTTTTGATACTGTAATACCTATGTATTAAAAGAGACATATGACCATTTCTGGACACAATAATGAAAGCATATTGGTTTCTAAGGAATAGTTTTCTAATCATTGACTATGCTGCTTAAATGAGGAGTTTATGTTTCCAAATTTTTAATTACCGTCTCCTGATATTTTAAAATATCCATAAATGTATTTTTATAATTGTAAATCTTGAGTTCCTTTTCAAATTACTGCTGAATATCAATTCATATATATTGTGAGACATTAAGATACAATTCAATATATAATGGGAAAGAGACAATACAAAAATACAATCAGCAACAAAAAAACAAATATGACACCACCAGATTCTAGAGAATTCCACAACAGCAGAACTCCAACATTCCAATGCAAATGATGCATAAGAGAATGACCTTAAACCACATGATGAAAATGGTAGAGGCCCTAAAAGAGGATATAGGAAAATGCCTCAAAGAAATGGATGAAAAAACAAACGAAAAATGCCAGAAATGGAAGAAAAACTCAAACAAAAGGGGCAGGAAATGGAAGAAGAAACAAAGCAAAAGAATGTGAGAAATGAAAGAAAAAAAAACAGACCAAAAAACGCAAGAAATAGCAGAAAAACAAACCAAAAAGGCAGGAAATAGAAGAAAGAACAAACCAAAAACATAAAATGCAACAAAAGGTTGAATAGACAAACTGAAAATTGCAAGAAACAATGCAAACAGTGCAAGGGTTGAAAACTGAACTAGAGACAATAAAAAAACAATCAGAAGAAAGGCTGGACATAGAAAAGCTGGGCAAATGGTCAGGTACTACCAATTCAAGCATTACCAACAGAATAAAAGAGATGGAAAAGAGAACCTCAAGTGGTGAAGATACATTAGGAGAAATGGTTTCATCAACCAATGAAAATCTTAAGTCAAACAAATCCTTAACACAAAACATCCAGGAAATATGGGACACCATGAACAGACCAAACCAAAGAATAGTAGGTATAGAAGAAGGAGAAGAAAGCCACCTCAAAGGGACAGAAAACATATTCAACAAAATCATAGATGAAAACTTTCCCAACCTTAAGAAAGACATGCTAATGAAGGTACAATAAGCTAACAAAACAACAAATAGAGTGGATCACAAAAAAGTCCCTTCGCCTCATAATAATCAAGAACCCAAATATACAGAATAAAGAAAGAATATTAAGAGTAGCTAAGGAAAAATGCCAAGCAACATCTAAAGGCAAACCTATCAGAATTACCGGGATTTCTCCATGGAAACCCTGAAAGCTAGAAGGTCCTGGATAGATATTCTAGTAACACTAAGAGAACATGTATGCAGGCAAGACTATACCTGGCAAAGCTCTCAATCACTATAGATGGAGAAAACTAGATATTCCATGACAAAACTAGATTCAAACAATATGTATCCGCTAACCCACCCTACAGAAAGCTTTGGAAGTAAAACTCCTACCCAAGGAAATTAACTACAACCAGAAAAACATAGGCATTAGAGATTCCTTCTCTACTAACAGTCAAAAGAACAAAGGTGTGAAATTCCACACATAATTCCACCACAAATAACCATTCCAAATCAAAGAAGAATGAGCAATCACTGGTCATTAATATCCCTCAACATTAATGGCCTTAATTAACCCATAAAAAGACATAGGCTAGCAGAATGGAAACTAAGACAGAACACATCCTTCTGCTTCATACAAGAAACACAGCTCACCCTCAAAGACAGACATTACCCGAGAGTTAAAGGTTGGGAAAATATTTTCCAATCAAATGGACCCAAGAAACAAGCAGGGGTAGCAATCCTAATATCTAACAAACTTGACTTTAAAATAAAATCAATCAAAAGAGATGAAGGAGGTCATTATATACTCATCACAGGCGAAATCCACCAAAATGAAGTGTCTACCTTGAACATCAATGCCCCAAGTACAAAGGCAGCCACATTCGTAAAAGAAACATTACTAAAACTAAAATCACATAGAAAGCCCCACACACTTTTAGTGGGAGATTTCAACACACCACTCTCACCACTGGACAGGGATACTTGACAAAAACTCAAAAAAGAAGCAAAGGGTCTAATAGAAGTAATGACCCAACTGGGATTAACAGATATCTAGAGAACATTTCATCCACATAAAAAAGAATATACCTTCTTCTCACCACCACATGGAACCTTCTCAAAAGTCAACCACATATTCGCAACATATCAAACCTCCACAGCTTCAAAAAACTTGGAATAACTCCACGCATCTTATCAGACCAGGTGTGTTACAATTAGAATTCAACAACAACAATAAAATTGCAGAAAACCTACAAACTCATGAATATTGAATAATGCACAACTGCATCATACCTGGGTCAAAGAAGAAATAAAAAAGAAATTAAAGACTTCCTAGAATTTAATGACATACCCAAACCTATGGGACACTTTGAAAGCAGTGCTACGGGGGAAGTTCATAGCGCTAAGTGCCCGCATGAAGAAACTGGAGAATAGTTGCACTAGAGAATTAAAAGAACAGCTGAAAGCTCTAGAACACAAAGAAACTCCTCCAGGAGGAGTAGATGCCAGGAAATAATCAAATTGTGGGCTGAATCAATAAAGCAGAAACTAGGAAAACAACACAAAGAATCAATGCAACGAAGAGTTTATTCTTTGAGAAATTCAAAAAGATAGACAAACCTTAGTCCAAACTTACCGAACAGCAGAGTGTGAATATGCAAATTAACAAAATTAGAAATGAAAAGGGGGACATAACAATGGACTCTCAGGAAATTCAGAGAATAATCAGGTCATACTTTGAAAACCTGTACTCCACAAAATTGAAAATTTAAAGGAAGTTGATGACTTCCTGGATAGCTGTCACTTGCCAAAATCAAATGAAGAATAGATAAACAATTTAAATACCTATAACTCCTGTGGAAATAGAAGCAGTCATCAAAAGTCTCACAACCAAAAAAAGCCCAGGTCGAGATGTTCTCAGTGCAAAATTCTAGCAGAAATTCAAAGAACAGCTTATACCAATTCTTCTCAAATAATTCCACACAATAGAAGCAGAAGGGTCTTTGCCAAACTCTTTCTACAAGGCTTCAATAACCTTGACCCCAAGCCACACTAAGACACAACTAAGAAAGAGAACTTCAGACTAATATCCCTCATAAACATTCATTCAAAAATACTCAACAAAATACTGTCAAATCAGATCCAAGAACACATCAAAACAATTGCTAACCATGATCAAGCACGTTTCAGCCCAGGGATGGAGGGATGGTTCAACTTATGAAAATCCTTCAAAGTAATCCACCATATAAACAAGCTGAAAAACAAAAATCACACATGCATATCACTAGATACTGAAAAGCCTTTGAGAAAATCAACACACCTTCATGATAAAGGTCTTGGAGAAATCTGGGATAACAAGAACATACTTAAACATAATAAAAGCTATATACAGTAAACGAACAGCGAATATCAAACTAAATGGACAGAAACTCTAGGCAATTCATCTAATTGGGAACAAGACAAGGCTGTCCACTCTCTCCATACCTTTTCAACATTGTACTTGAAGTTGTAGCCAGAGCCATACGACAACAAAAGGGGATCAAAGGGATACAAATTGGGAAGGAAGAGGTCAAACTTTCACTATTTCCAGATGATATGATAGTTTACATAAATAACCCAAAGAACTCTACTAGGGAACACTTACAGCTGACTGCCACCTTCAGCAAAGTGGCAGGCTACAACATCAACTCAGGAAAATCAGTAGCCCTACTATATACAGATGATAAAAAGGCTGAAAAAGAAATCAGAGAAGCATCACCCATTACAATTGCCACAAACAACATAAAATAGTGTGGGGTAACACTAACCAAACAAGAAAAAGATCTGTATCACAAGAACTATGACTCTTTTTTTTGTCTTTTTTTATTTTAATTTTAAATAGCTTGTTTTACATGGCAATCCCAGTTCCCTCTCCCTCCCCTCCTCCCGCACTCCCCTTCCACCCTCCCTCCCACCCTATTGCCAAATCCTTCCACATAGGGGATGTCTAGAGTCTATCATTTTACTCTTGGTAGGGTCAAGGCACTCCCCTAAGAGTCCAGGCTGAGAGAGCATCTCTCTTTGTGCTATAGGCACATGAAGACAGATTGTATACCAGGGATAGACACTGATCCACAGCTCAGAGCCCCATAGGTTGTCCAGGCCTTCTCACTGACACTCACATTTGGGGGGTCCAGGTCAGTCCCATTCTGGCCTCCCCACTGTCGGTCTGGGGTCCAAGAGCACTCCGCTGTTCCGATCAGCTGTCTCTGCTGGTTTTGCCAGCCCATTCTTTGCCAATTTGCTCATCATTCCTCTCTCTGTCATTGGGTTCCTTGGGTTCAGTTCAGTGCTTAGTTGTGTGTTTGCCTCTGCTTCCATCAGTCCCAAGATGAAGGCTCCCGGATAGTTATAGACATCAAGTTCATTATCAGGAATGGGCATTCGAGGTGGTCCTTCCACTATTGCTTAGCTTGCCAATTGATGTTATACCTTTAGATCACTCGAGGTCACTCTGGTGCCTGATCTGTCTTCGATCCTATGATTCCCTCTTCCCCCTATTCTACCCCCATCCCCTCAACTTCCTGTTCCCCCATGACCAACTCCCTTCCTCTTTACCCCCTCTATTCTTCCCAGGTCCCACTACCCCCTCGCCCTGTTCCCCTTCCATTCAGAGGATCTTGTCTCCATCCTATTCTCTTGGGTACTATGCATATATGCATATCTTTTAGGTTCTTTCCTGTTTCCCAGACTCTCTATCTGTGGAAGTGCAGACTGGCACTATCCTGATCCATATCTAAAATCCATATATGAGTGAGTACATACCATGTTTGTCTTTTTGCGACTGGGTTACCTCACTCAGGATGGTTTCTTCCAGTGCTATCCATTTCCCTGCGAATTTCAAGATTCCATTGTTTTTTTCTGCTGAGTAATACTCCATTGTGTAAATGTACCACATTTTCTCTATCCACTCTTCAGTTGAGGGGCATCTAGGTTGCTTCCAGGTTCTGGCTATTACAAACAATGCTGCTATGAACATAGTGGAGCAGATGCCCTTGTTGTATGAACCTGCCTCATTTGGATAAATGCCTAAGAGTGGAATTGCTGGGTCTAGTGGTAGATTAATTCCCATTTTCCTGAGGAATCTCCATACTGATTTCCAAAGAGGCTGTATGAGTCGGCATTCCCACCAGCAGTGGAGGAGTGTTCCTCTCTCTCCACATCCCCTCCAGCATAAATTGTCTTCGGTGTTTTTGATTCTAGCCATTCTGACAGGAGTAAGATGGTATCTCAGAGTTGTTTTGATTTGCATTTCCCTGATGGCTAAGGATGTTGAACACTTTCTTAAGTGTCTCTTGGCCATTTTAGCCTCCTCTACAGAGAATTCTCTATTTAGCTCTGTACCCCACCTTTCAAGTGGATCCTTTGGTGTTTTGGAGACTTGTTTCTTGAGTTCTTTGTAAATTTTGGAGATTAGCCCTCTGTCAGATGTAGGGTTAGTGAATATCTTTTCCCATTCTGTGGCCTGCCTTTTTGTCTTTTTGATTGTGTCCTTTGCCTTACAGAAGCTTTTTAGTTTCAGAAGGTCCCATTTGTTAATTGTTGATCTCAGTGCCTGTGCCACTGGTGTTATGTTTAGGAAGTGGTCTCCTGTACCAACTCGTTGAAGAGTATCTCCCACTTTCTCTTCTAAAAGTTTCGGTGTGGCTGGATGTATGTTGAGATCTTTGATCCATTTGGACTTAAGTTTTGTACAAGGCGATAAACATGGATCTATCTGCAGTCTTCTGCATACCACTACCCAGTTATGCCAGCACCATTTGTTGAAGATGCTTTCTTTTTTCCACTGTACAGTTTTAGCTTCTTTGTCAAAAATCAGGTGTTCATAGGTGTGTGGGTTAAAATTAGGGCTTTCGATTCGGTTCCATTTGGTCTACCTGCCTATTTTTGTGCCAATACCAAGCTGTTTTCAGGACTATAGCTCTATAATAGAGCTTGAAGTCAGGTATGGTGATGCCTCCTGAAGTTCCTTTATTGTATAGGGATGTTTTGGCTATCCTGGGCCTTTTGTTTTTCCATATAAAGTTGATTAATGTTCTTTCCAGGTCCTTGAAGAATTGTGATGGAATTTTGATAGGGATTGCATTGAATCTATAGACTGCTTTTGGCAAGATTGCCATTTTTATTATGTTGATCCTACCAATCCAAGAGCATGGGAGATCTTTCCATTTTCTGGTATCTTCTTTGATTTCTTTCTTCAAAGACACAAAGTTCTTGATATACAGGTCTTTCACTTCCTTGGTTAACATTATCCCCAGATATTTGATGCTGTTTTTGGCTATTGTAAAAGGTGATGTTTCTCTGATTTCTTTCTCAGTCACTTCATCATCTGTATATAATAGGGCCACTGATTTTTTTGAGTTTACCTTGTATCCTGCCACATTGCTGAAGGTGTTTATCAGCTCTAGGAGTAACCTTGCGGAGTTTTTTGGGTCACTTATGTAAACTATCATATCATCTGCAAATAATGAAAGTTTGACTTCTTCTTTTCCTATTTGTATCCCCTTTATCTCCTTTTGTTGTCTTATTGCTGTAGCTAGAACTTCAAGTACAATATTGAAGAGATATGGAGAGAGTGGACAGCCTTGTCTTGTTCCTGATTTTAGAGGAATTGCTTTGAGTTTCTCTCCATTTAGTTTGATGTTAGCTGTTGGTTTACTGTATATTGCTTTTATTATATTCAGGTACGTTCCTGTTATCCCTGATCTCTCTAGGACCTTTATCATGAAGGGGTGCTGGATTTTGTCAAAGGCTTTTTCAGCATCTAGTGAGATGATCATGTGGTTTTTCTTTCGCAGATTGTTAATATGGTGGATTACATTGATAGATTTTCTAATGTTGAACCATCCCTGCATTCCTGGAATGAAGCCTACTTGATCATGGTGGATGATTTTTCTGATGTGTTCTTGAATCCGGTTTGCAAGTATTTTATTGAGTATTTTTGCATCAATGTTCATGAGGGAAATTGGTCTATAGTTCTCTTTCTTAGTTGTGTCTTTGTGTGGCTTGGGTATCAAGGTAATTGTAGCCTCGTAGAAAGAGTTTGGCAGTGAGCCTCCTGCTTCTATAGTGTGGAATACTTTGACGAGTATTGGAATGAGCTCTTCTTTGAATTTCTGGTAGAATTCTGCACTGAAGCCATCTGGGCCTGGGCTTTTTTTGTTTGGGAGACTTTTGATGACTGCTTCTATTTCATTAGGGGTTATAGGTCTGTTTAGAGAACTATGAATCTTTAAAGAAAGAAATTTTAGAAGACCTCAGAAAATGGAAATATATCCCATGCTCTTGGATAGGTAGGATCAATGTAGTAAAAATGACAATCGTGCCAAAAGCAATCTACAGATTCAATGCAATCACTATTAAAGTCCCAGCACAATTCTTCACAGACCTGGAAAGAACAATAATCAATTTTGTATGGAAAAACAAAAGACCCAGGATGGCCAAAACAACCCTGTTCAACAAGGCAACATCTGGAGGCATCATCATCCCTGATTTCAAACTCTACTATAGAGCTATAGTCCTGAAAACAGCTTTGTATTGGCACAAAAATAGATAGGTAGACCAATGGAATCGAATTGAAAACCCTGATATTAACCCACACAATTATGAACATCTGATCTTTGACAAAGAAGCTTAAAATATAGAATGGAAAAAAGAAAGCATCTTCAACAAATGGTGCTGGCATTACTGAAGGGTGGCATATAGAAGAATGCAGATCGATCCATGTTTATCGCCATTCTTTAAGTCCAACTGGATCAAAGACCTCAACATAAATACAGCCACACTGAAACTCTTAGAAGAGAAAGAGGGTGGTACCGTTGAATGAATTGGTACAGGAGACAGCTTCCTGAACATAACACCACTAGCACAGACAGTGAGATCAACAATTAATGAATGGGACCTCCTGAAACTGAGAAGCTTCTGTAAGGCAAAGGATACAGTCAGCAAGACAAAAAGGCAGTCCACAGAATAGGAAAAAATATTCCCTAACCAGGCATCTGACAGAGGTCTGATCTCCAAAATTTATAAAAACCACAAGAAGCAAGTCTCCAAAACACCATAGGATCCAATTAAAAAGTGGGCTGGAGAACTAAATAGAGAATTTTCAATAGAGGAATCTAAAATTGGTGAGAGGAACTTGAGAATGTGTTCAACATCCTTTGTGATCTGGGAAATGCAAATCAAAACAACTCTGAGATACTACCTCACTCCTGTCAATATGGCTAAAAACAACACCAACGACAATTAATGCTGGAGAGGATGGGCTAAAAGGGGTACACTCCTCCATTGCTGGTGGGAGTGAAAACTGGTTCAGCCACTATGGAAATCAGTATGGAGATTCCTCAAAAAAATGGGAATAAACCTACCACAAGACCCAGCAACACCACTCTTAGGCATATATCCATAAGATGCCCATTCATACAACAAGGTTGTCTGTTCCACTATGTTCATAGCAGCATTATTTGTAATAGCCAGATCTTGGAAGCAACCTAGATGCCCCTCACCAGTAAAGTCGATAGAGAAAATATGGTACATTTACACAATGGAGTACTATTAAGCTGAAAAAAACAATGGAATCCTGAGATTTGCATGCAAATGTATGACACTAGAAGAAACCATCCTGAGTGAGGTAACGCAGTCACAAAAATAGAAACATGGCATGTACTCTCTCATATATGGAATTTAGACATAGATCTGTGGAGGGCCAGCCTACAATCCCATGGCCAGAGAGTCTGGGAGACAGAACCTTCATTCAGTGGCTGATGGAAGAAGAGGCAGACTCCCATGGCTAAGCACTGAGCTGAACTCAAGAAAGCCAGTAACAAAGAGGGGGGACTTATGACCAAAGGGATTAGACTGGGCTGGTTTAACCCCCACAAACAGCAGACCTGAAAAAGGTTAACACTTGAATCCCAGGCTGATGCCTAGGAATCCAGCATGGGACTGATCAAGACCCCCTGAATGGGGGTGTCAGTGAGGAGGCCTAGGTAATCTATTGAGCCTTGGGCAATAGATCAGTATTTATCCCGAGTATACATATGGACTTTGGTCTCTGATCCAACAATGTGAGATGCACTCTCAACCTGAACCCTTGGGGAAGTTCTAGGCTCTGGTCTTGATGAAATAACAGACTATGGACACCCCCAATGAGGGCCTCACCTTCCCTGGGGAAATGAGGGGATATTGGTGGGGATGGGCAGAGGGCATGAGAGGAGTGGAGGGAAAGGGAGAGGGACCTGGAACTGACTTGTGAAGCAATCTTGTTTCTAATTTAAATTTAAATTTAAAAATAAATAATAAAAAAGAAACATTTGATCCTTTTTGGACATAACATTGAAAGCATATTAGTTTCTAAGAAATAGTTTTCTAATAAATGACTGTGCTGATTAAATGAGGAGTTTAAGTTTCCAAACTTGCTAATTCCCATCTCCTGATATTTTAAAATATTCATAAACACATTTGTTGGGATTGTATACCTTGAGTTACATTTCAAATTATTGCTGAATATCAATTCATGTATGTTGTGAGAAATTAAGATGCAGATCAACATATAATCTACAAAAATTCTGAAAGGTAAAACATACTATAAATGATTTGAGGATACTTGTCAAAACCAGGACAGGTGAATATAATATCGATATAAGGTTACATAAATTGTTGTGAAATACAAGTTTGTTTTATTATATTAGCATATTGATGTCAAGATAATAATACAGATATAGATGCAAACCATACCTGCATGGAATAAACAAGAAATCATGAAAGAAAAATACACTCACCCACAGAGACCAAGTTGCTGTAGTTCTCCAACATGACGTCCCGATACAAAGCTTTCTGTGCAGAATCCAAGCATTTCCATTCCCCATGAGAGAAGTCTATGGCCACATCTTCGAATGTCAATATGCCCTGTCATGAATGATAACAGTTTTAACATTTACCCAGCTACAAATTTTTTTACTTCACCTAAGGAAATATGAGTAACTTATACAAATGGATATATTTTTATATAAGCATTAAAATACAATATACTCTAAATTACAGTGTATATGAAGAAATATGTATCCTGGATATATGAAAGGTCAAGTAACATGAGACCAGCATAGGTGTTAGATTCACTGATTGTAATGGAATGTGAGCATGAGGCAAATTATCTTCATGTGATATGGTTGTTAGTAGAACAGTTGGGTGCAGAGATATAATGTGCATCAATGCAGCAATAGCTGTATATACAGCCTACCTCAGGATGGAGAGCAGGAGTTAGAACTGCCATATCCAAAGAAAGAGGAGAGACTCTTCCTGTGCATGGCTCTATGACATCAGTGGGAAAGACCAGGAAAGGACTGAGTCCTACACCTTTGCAATGACACCACGGGTGCAGGGTGCTGGAGAGAGACTGGCTTCTAAGGCTGATTACATGCTTGGTACACTGTGGGTAACAGAGAAGGTAAAAGTGCAGGTGGGAGATTGAGTAGATGATGCATGGCAGGAAACTCCGAAATTTACTCCCCTGAAGCTTCTGGCTTTTGTCACTGCTTTAAGAGAACAAGAACAGTATGAGAACTGACATAACTGCTCTTACTCAGCACAATTGTACCATTGAATCAACAACAACTAAAGATATTGATTAAACTGCTCTGCAGATTGCAATCCCACATGTCTGCTTTTCTAGATTTGACCTCATGTTACAAACTATAACTTGCCCTTCAACAGATTGTGCATGAAGCATCATAAGGAAAGATAGAAATAAAAACACCCCAACAACAGCATGCTCTGATTGAAAGTGTAATGTTTTATGGTAATTTCCATGTTCTCCATATCTCATTAAAATTCTCTAACACATTCACTAGTATACACACATACATTAATTATTTTCTGTTCCTCTGTACATTGTTATATTTTTTACTTAGGTTTTATGGCTTTTCTGCATTTACCTTTTATTTGTACTCTGTAAACCATGTACTTTCACTTCCATTCATGCATTATGTCTTCTGTCCCTCTTTCCCATCCTCAAGGCTCTTGTTCCAGCTGTGCCCTCCAATAGCTTTGGTAATATTAAACACTGCAGACACTTAGTATATACCTATGATTTGTTTTTATCTATATTCTTTCTTGACTTAAAATAAGTTGTTTTAATAATGATTTCTGACATCAAATGATCTTCCATTATGTTATTATACATCACTTTTAAGGCATACTATACTCTCTTTTTTATTTCATCAATTCAAAGTTAAAGAAACAAATGTGAGGCTTTAAAATTTTTATTCATTGTTTATGATTTTTATAAATGAAAATATAAACTTCTGAATAAAACCTAGGTTGCTGAGTAGTCATTTTGGAAAGCTCAGCCGAGTAGGACATCTTTATCACCAACAAAATATAGGGCAATTGTAAGAGAGATATCAGAAAACTTACAAGAACCAGAGAAGTTGGAGGACTAACTGTAAATTCGGTGTCCTGGATATGAGACAGCCAATACAAATATGAACTTAAAGCAACAGAACTCTCAGATGGAATCAATGTGACACATTTTTATTTCTTTTCAATAGTTGAGGCCTGAGATAGACTCTACAGGAAATGGTTGCCAGCAAGTCTCAGTATCCAACTGTCACAATGAAAATCTCAGTGAATTACAGCATCAATTACGTGAGATTATGTGCCCTGTTGAAAGTGAACTGGGAAGAACAGAACAAAGTCCCCAGTCTGTAAAAAAAAATAGGTATATAAAAACACAGTCATGAGGCTGATAAGAAGAAAAGACAAGCAAAGGGCACTGGAAATGAACTACTTATGGAAGATAAAGAGAAGCAGAGAAGAAAGAAATGAGTGCAATGCACATACATAACCTTTGTAGAAGAAACCAAGCACAGCCACTGAGCAAAGACATACTTGCCACAGAAACAGTAATGCATTTTTGTGACACTTTCTATGAGTGTTTGTTTCAGGGAAGATGACTTGCTCCACTATCTCTTAGAATCTCTCTATAGGGCTTGTGTTAAAGGTAACCAAACTCAGTTTGCCTGTTACAGGCACACTCTTAATCTACAGAGCCTCAGAGAGCAGTAGAGAACTCACTCCTGTCAGGCAGCTCAAGACCTAATCTAGTCTGCTGAGATGAAAAAGTTTTATCTTCCTCTTGGAGAACTGAGGTTGTCTGCTCTGTTTTCATGATCTGCAGTGAGGTTCTGTTCCACCCCACCCTGGCAGAGTAGAAACTGAGAAACAAGAGCTGAACTCACTGTTAGTCAGGAACCCTTAAGATGGACTATGACCCTCACTTTGTTTTTACTGCCAGTGTTCATGAACTCACTGGAGATGCTAATTAGATGATGGGCAGATGTAGGCTGGGGATGAAGCACAAGTGAAAGTCATTTCATCAAATGACACCGGGGTCCTGAATGACAGAATGGGCTGAGATTTTTGGGAGATGTTATCCCTAAGAATGCCTTGTGCATATGAATCACTTCGCGTCAATGTCACCATGCAGTAATTTGTGATTTTGAAGTTTGGAGTGAAACACGGACATATGGCTCATTTTACTGGAAAAGAAAATCTAATGTGGCCCCAACCTGATACACTGGTTCTACAAGCATGTAGAAAATGATCACAGTGTGTTGTGATAAATTCTTATGGAATCTTCCTATATAATCTGAGATATCAGTGAAGTACATACCAGCCTCACATGGGAATCAAAATAGGAATCAAAATTCCCATTTTGATTCTCCTGTTAGGGTGCATCATTTAACTTCAACAAATTTCACATAGAAGAGGTAAGTATGAAAGATGAGAGGACTTAGAAAATTGTGCACAAATAACTTAGAATGAGTTATTTCATGCTACATCAGGGGTTTTGCACATAAAATGATTTTACATGTGTATATATTCCTGGTGAACAACTCAAGAAATTATCATATATGACTCTAAGTCTTATCAGTTTTTCTTCATATTTTCACAACTACATATTTATACATTAACATGTTTATACCATAGTACATATGTGTTAGATCAATATGGATATCAACAAGAAAAATTGATAATATTCATCCTCTTTCTCAGGTTCATAGTTTATCTTAAACCTCTCACCTATGAAGATCCCATTTCCTTTTTATGAATTTTATTTAAATTAGAAACAACAGAAACTAGGAAAACAATACAACGAATCAATGTAACCAAGAGTTGGTTCTTTGAGAAAATCAACAAGATAGTCAAACCTTTATCCAAACTCACCAAATGGCAGAATATGAACATGTAAAATCAGAAATGAAAAGGGGGACATAAAAAAGAACATTGAGGAAATCCAGGCAATCATCAGGTCATACTTTCAAAACCTGTACTCCAAAAAATTCAAAAATTTAAAGGAAATGAAAGACTTCCTGGATAGATATCACCTGCCAAAATTAAACCAAGAAGATATAAGCAATTTCAATACAGTTATGACACCTAAGGAAATAGAAGCAGTCATCAAAAGTCTCCAAACAAAAACAAGCCCAGGGCCAGAGGGCTTCAGTGCAGAATTTTACCAGAAATTCAAAGAACAGCATATACCAATTATTCTCAAAGTATTCCATGCAAAACAAGCAAAGGGTCTTTGGAAACTCCTTTTACAAGTTTTCAATAATATTGATATGCAAGCCGCACAAAGACACAACTAAGAAACAGAACTTCAGGCCAATTTCCCACATAAACATTGATGTAAAAATACTCAATAACATACTGTCAAATCAGATCCAAGAACACATCAGAAAACCCATCCCCCATAATCAAATAGGCTTCATTCCAGGGATTCAGAGATAGTTCAACACACGAAAATCTATCAATGTAATACACCATATAAACAAGCTGAGAAACAAAAATCAAAAGAAAATCTCATTATTTGCCCGAAAAGCCTTTGACAAAAATACAACACCCCCACATGATAAAGGTCTTGGAGAGATCTGGGATAATAGGAACATACCTAAACATAATAAAAGCTGTATACACCAAACCAAGAGCCAACATCAAACTAAATGGACAGATACTCAATGCAATTCCTCTAAAATCAGGAACAAGACAAGGCAGGCACCTCTCCCCCATACTTCTTCAATATTGTACTGTAAGTTCTAGCTAGAGCAATATGACAAAAAAAGGAGATCAAGGGGATACAAATTGGAAAGGAAGATGTCAAACATTCACTATTTGCAGCTGATATGACAGTTTACCTAAGTGACCCAAAGAACTCTACCAGGGAACACGTACAGCTGATTATCAACTTCAGCAAAGTGGCAGGATACAAGATCAACTCAAGAACATCGGGAGCCCAACTATATACAGGCAATAAGAGGGCTAAGAAGGAAATCAGAAAAACATCACACTTTACCATTGCCACAAACAACATAAAATACTGTGGGGTAACGCTAACCAAACAAGTGAAAGACATGTATCACAAGAACTTTGAGCCTTTAAAGAAAGAAAATTAAAGAAGACACCAGAAAATGGAAAGATCTCCCATGCTCATGGATAGGTAGAATCAATGTATTAAAAATGGCAATCCTTCCAAAAGCAATCTACAGAAACAATGCAATCCCCATCAAAGTTGGAACACAATAGTGTCAGTCTGCACTTCCACTGACAGAGAGTTTGGGAAACAAGAAAGAATCTAAGAGAGATATGCATGGTACCCCAGAGAAGAGGAATGAGGCAAGATCTTCTGAACAGATGGGGAACACGGTGAGGAGTGGGGGTACTGGGAGCTGGGAAGAAGAGAGGTAAAGAAGAGGAAGAGGGAGTAGGTCATGGAAGAACAGGAAGTTGAGTGGGGAGTAGGATAGGGGGAAGAGGGAATCATAGTTTATAATACAGAGCTGTCACCAGTGAGACCTCTAGTGATCTAAAGGGATGATACCAACCAGCAAGCTAAGCAGTAGTGGAGA